ATCTCCACTCTGCCATATGGAGGTCTCGCTCTCCAGAGGACTGGGAAGACTTCAAAAACTGGTACTCCTTTGCAACTCAGGAGCGTCTTCGGATTCGTGAGGAGGACTGGTTATCCTTCACGGGGTCTCTATAGTTCCAGTCGTCACCCTCCTATGTCTGGAATCGGATTAATGCTATACGTGGTACTCGACGGAGGTCTCCTCCCCACCCTGACCCCGCCTCCCTTGCCTGCTCTTTAATGGAGGACTGGGCACGAGCTTCCTCCCCTGAAGCACTTCCAGATCCGATGCAGGAGGCAGTGCAGGCTCGCATCGATGCGTCTGAGCCTGTTGTTGGTGCTGCTCTTACCTCCCCTGCCCTCACTGATCATCCCATCACACAGTTCGAGCTTGACAGTGCTCGTCACTCAAGAAAAGACACCTCTCCTGGGGATGATCAGATAACCTACTCCGTCCTCAATGCCTGTACTAATAATCCTAACGACCTCTTGCTCGCTCTCTACAATACTGTATGTCTTATGAACATGGGGTTCTTCCGTCTAACTGGAAAAATGCCACTATTATCCCCACCCCTAAGCCGGGAGATCCTGGGAAATATCTACCCATTAGTCTTACCTCCTGTGTTTGCAAGATGATGGAGAGGATACTCCATCGTCGCCTTCTTCACACCATAGGCGGCTTCCACAACTCCCTCAATGGTTTCATACAACATTGCAGCACAGCACACTTCATTGCTTCCTTTTATTGCAATCAGACTACCCGTGTCTCCGTCTTCCTTGAGTGGTTAGGGGTTAAAGGGAGACTTCTTTGATGGATCGCCTCTTACCTCACTGGACGTCAGGCCCGGGTTCGCGTTGAAGGCTCTATATCTCCTGTTCAAGAAATGAACCTCGGCACCACCCCTCAAGGTGGAGTCCTGAGTTCCACCTTGTTTAACACTATCATGCACTCCGTTGCATCTCTCCCGTGGCCGACAGAAGTTGTCCACTCAGGATATGCCCCTGACTCCCTCAGCCCTTGATCTGGTCTCCATGTGGCACGGTCGTGTTGTACCTCCTCCCTTCTCTTATCAGGAACATCCTTGGACTGGGTTAATGAGACAAAACACCTGGGTGTGTATGTAAGTCGCACACGTTGTCAGATCCCCGAAGTCCGCTATCTTCGAGACATGCTTTCTGAGCCTCGCTCCTCTCTCCACCACGTGCAGGGGTTCCCTTGGTGCCACCATCCCTGCACTTCTCACCATGTACAAGTCCTTTGTCCATTCTTGTGTCGACTACGCCGCCCCTGCCCTCATCAACATTAGTCAGACTGCTGTCAACCGTCTCGAAGTTATCTAGAGAAAAGCTGCTCGTATCATCCTTGGGACCCCTCAGTGGACACGCTGTACTTCTCTATATACTGAACTTGATCTTTCCTCCTTACAGGATCGTGTCCAGGAGTTTTACCTAAAAACTACTGTTTCCATTCTACGGGATCCTCGGGGCAACATGTCCAAGCCAACTTGACTCTTGCTGTCTGAGGCCGACCTCCCTCTAGAAGACAGTGGCGAGGGTCACTCATCCGAGCCCTTCAGGAACACGACCTCCTGCCTGATATTGTTGTCACCCCTGCTGTTGGTTCGTCTCCTTCTCCCTGGCTGGATTTTCAACCTGAAGTGATTGCCCTCGGTGGACCGCTCCCAAAATCCCAAGTGAACCCTGTAATTCTCTGCAAATTCCACCTCTCCAGGATCACCCACTGGTCCCCAGGTAGGGTCGTCCTCTACACTGATGACTCTGTTGACCCCGCTACAGGTAGGGCCAGGACTGGTGTCTACATCTCTCATCCTGATGCCCTAGAGCCTATCAAACTCTCTCTCAGAGTTTCTGACGGGGCATCCTCCACTCAGGCTGAACTGATAACCCTCCTTGCTGCCCTTCTCGTTGAGGAAGAAGCCAATGGTTTCTGTCACTTGCTTGTCTGCTGCGATTCCAGGTCTGCTCTCGACAGGATCACATTTGGTTCAGGGGAAAATAAGGACCTCATCCTCCGAATACGAGGGTTAACATCAACACTTGAGGATGCAGGCCGTCATGTGACATTCCTATGGATACCCAGTCATGTCGGTATCTTGGGGAATGAGGCAGCAGATGGCCTTGCCAAGACTGGCTGTAACAAGGCCACACCTGACTACGTTGTTCCTCGAACACTTTTACAGCTATGACCCAAATTCGCCGCAAACAGAGAGAAGCTCGGGAAGCAGCCATCCCCCTGGACTCCCCGCCCACCTGGTACGATGTCCTCTGTAAACTTCCTGACCTCTCATATGTCTATGGGAAAGGGTCGCGGAAAAAGGACGTGATTGCTGCCCGTATCATCATTGGGTATGACTTTGCTTGGAAGATTGGTATCCCCGCATCCCGAGCAACGCTCTTGCTCTTTATGCAGACGACCCGACAGCCACACCCTGGCCACTACCTCCTAAGATGTCCCCACACACAACGCTTCCGTGACGCCTGCTGGACCACCACTCCACGACCCCCTGACGGAGACACGATGATCCTCCCCATAATGGCCAGATATTATGTAAATAATATTGATGATGTGTTGTTGAAGGAATATACTTCCTTCCTTAGGCTTTAGTAAGCACCTTTATAATATTTATATATACTTGTGACACTTGCCAGATGCTTCTGGTGTTATTGTACAGGAGTACCAAGTGACAGCACAAGGATCCCGCTTCCTCTGTCAAGGAATAAAATATTGAAATTGAAATTGAATTGATGCAGGCAACCGATTATACTATCTGGGTACTGTATAGATAAAGGATCAGGCAGCAAAAGAACATTCCCATACTGCTTTAGGATACTCAAGGCATGACGGATCATCACACTATGCAAAATCATTTCGGAACTTGTGGTCAGAGAAATTAGTTGGTTGGGCAAATACTTAGGATCATCAAACATAAGTGCCTTAAAAGTCATTAGGCTCAGTTTGAATGGGTTAGTGGGAGTCCTTAGTGGGAGAGCAAAAATAAGCCTGACAACCCTGTTCAACACTCTTTGAACTTTCTTCAGTAGATAATTAGGTAGGCAGACCCACAAACAGTTACAACGGTCCACCAGAGACAAAATAAGTGAAAGTAATTGTATCACATGCAGCAGAGATGCAAGACTACTGGTATAGACCATAAACAGAAAAGATCCCTATACGAGTACTTGTAGTTGAACAAGAATACCAGTACAATATGGCTCATTTAGACATTATGCCAGAGATCATACAAATAAAGTGTATCATGAAAATTAAAGAGGAATGAAGAATTTGCTGAGTCAACGAGGATACGGACAGTAATCCTCCAGCAGACAGAAGGAAAATATAATCAATAGGTGAAACAGAAACAGATAATTCACCATCAGGAGAAGAGTAAGTAGAGGTTACACCCTGAGGAATTCAGTAGGTTTAAGATAAGAAGCACAATGAATGTTGCCAAAGAAAAGAATCTCAGTAAAAGAAACACAACTTTACTCCTTTCATGTTTTGGTTTACCAACAATAAAAAAAATAAATATTTTTCATGAAGCATTACCTAAAGTACTGTACAGTAGTTTAAATGGCCCAGTGGCTATTCAATGCAAGCATGGGAGATGGCCATAAATAGTTGATGATGATAGTTGTGGCATAATTTGTTTTTCATATCTTCCTTGTATCACACAGGGTACCTATAAAAGCATTGTTTGTTGTTGTCTGATCATTATCATCATCATCAAGATTTTAAGGGTATTTTCCATGCTTGTGTGAGTTAAGATACCTGATGGCTACTGTTGGGTAAAACCAGAACAGGATATCCCACCCCTCCCCTTGTCACCAGGGTAAACCCAAGCTGCCAGCTCAGAAAATGCAGCAAAGACCAAGGGATGGGCACAGCTCTGGTTACTTGGTTGACATGAGGCGATGCATGTTGAATTAAAGTTTTATGGTTGGATGCCCTTCCTATTGCCAAGCCTCAGGGTTTAATGATGTGAAAAAATTAAAGTGGATTCCACAGGTTTTATAGCATGATTGGGACAGTGTACATAAATACTATGTAGCATAAAGTAAACTAAACTTTTTTTCTTTTTTTTTTTATGCAAGGAAGCAATGTGGCAGGAACTGCCTTAGATTCCCCAACTTTAAACACATATAATGTATCCATTCACAGGTGGCTGAACTAGGGGTGTCAAATGTGGCATGAAATCTATCCACTTGACTAGTGCACCCCATCCAGCAATATGATCTTATCCTAAATTCAAAGTACATTAAGTCCTCGCTTAATGCCGTCCCGCTTAACGTTGTTTTGGTACTACGTCGCTAAACTTTAGAGATCAAAAATTTGTTTAACATCCTGGTGATCCGATACTATGCCGTTTGGTGTCGTCAGGGACTACTTTCTATGGTGCATCACCCGCTCTTGTCTGGCCGTGCTACGCTCTCTCGGCTTGGCGCACTGCCCTCACTCGCAGAACGTCACAGCGTCCCTAAGTGACGCCGAGCTAGTCTTTGTTACGACTTCACATCATTCGTGTGTGCTTAAGTGCTTTTGCTCTAAAACTGTACTCTAACAGTTCGAAATGGCTTCCCAGCACCCATCAAGTGCTACTGGTGCTAGTTTAGTAAAGAGGCAACGTAAAACCATTACCCTCCACTCCCACCCTTCTCCTCTGCTCCCGCCATCCGCCTCCTCCCCTTCAATACCCACCAGACACTCACTCTACCACATCCGCCCATCGGTGAGTACCTATATACAAACTTAGTAGTTGTATATGCATGCACAATTTTCTATAGAAATGGCAATGATTTTCTGTATATATAATGTATTTCAAGGGGCAAAGGGAGGCTCAGAACGTAACTCCCGTATTTTATCTATTTATGGCAAAAATAGATCCGTATAACGTCGCATTTTCAGGAACGTAACCCGACATTAAGCGAGGACTTACTGTAAGAAATATACACGTAGTACTGCACTGCAATTTGGAAACTTACCGATGGAACAGTTGCTGCGATAGGAATAACGGCTATACTTATGACACGGAATACATTGGTGGCGATATTTTGTAACTTTGATCCCTCCTGATGACGACTCAAAACATTTACCTGAAATACATAATTGTGCAGTTCAGTTCTACAAATTATTAAAGGTATTGTGTACACAGTGTACTGTACTACTGTATATGCACAGATCAAAATAGAGTCCCGTACATAATATGAAATGAAATTCCTTTCCAATATACAGTACAGCTAAAAATTATGGTGACAAAAGCAAAAACAAACGAACATTATAATCGTGATACTGTATGCTAATAAACAAATATTGCGTGCAAACATTTCTGGAATAAAACCAAAACATAATTTAGCTAGGATTTTGAAAGAGTTGAATTGATAACAAATTCTTATTCTTAAATAGTGGCCAGCATCAATTGATGTCTGCTGTAGGTATGGCGGCCAATATCAATGGATGTTTCAAGTTCTTCGCATCCCAGTTTTTGTGCATGTGGAGCATGAACTATGAGATACAGCAAACTGTACACCATATGATAAGTCTATAAGAGGATACAGCATTTATGAGGACACACAGTATTTGCTATAACAGGATACAGGTATCTCTTGTTTAACAATCATTCACTTAGCGATATAAAATTCTTAACACCCTTTCTTGTTTACTGATGGTCAATTTTTGGTTTTGCAATGTTCCACTCACTGGGAAAAATTCGGGGGAGGAAGTCGGAAAAACTGGGGATTCTGTGCTCCAAGTGTGCATCATTACAATGCATTAATGTAGCTTAAAAATAAAGACAATATAATATAAAACTATAAAATAAGAAAAATGAAAAGCATGGGTGTTTATGTGTGGGAAGTGAATGTATAAACAGTAGTATATGACTAAGAGGACTTGCAGTATTTACTATAAAAACAACACTTCATCAAGCAACACCAAGAACCTTAAAAGGTACAGCGCCCCCACCCCCCCAAGTTCGCTGATTTTTACTTCGCGGTTCTCGGTTGTTCGGGGATGACACCCTGGAAGTACCCAAGTACTGTATGTCTGTGGGTAGTTTTAAAGTTGCCGGCATTTTCACAGCTGGGACAGGGAGCCATTCGTTCTAGAGACAGTAATTTCCTTTACCTGTAATATTGTATATATGTGTGTGTGTGTGTGTGTGTGTATAGACACACACACACACACATACAAATAAATAATAATGGCAAAATCCTCTTACAAATAATAAGAAACAAATTTATTAAAAATGTGAATCTACCCTCAAGTAGTACTTTATTAATAGAGCACAGACTTTAGGGGAGACTGTCACATTTTTAATAAATTTGTTCCCGAGTACAGTTGGCCCTTAACATACTCGGGGGTTAGGTAACAGAGATACCCGTGAATGTTAAAAATCTGTGTACTATTGCTGCCCCCCCCCCCCCCCAAAAAAACCCATGTCCTTATCTACCATATATACCTGTGTGTAGTTCGAGTTTTTAAGACCAAATTATTTGGCAAAAAATTGGGGGTCGACCTCTAAACGAGTAATAGTTTCGTTAGGTTGAAAAATATTTACCAGTAACTACCAGTAAACAATGAAAACGACGCACCAACGCACCACCAGCTGTGAGTGTCGGTACAGTTGCCAGGGCAGATCTCTTGCGTCATCATAGCATAGCCCAAAGCAGCCAAATGCATGGTATGGTACCGGGTATGCACAGGACGATGTAAAACATAAAGTATCATTTTTTAAAGTTTATTTATAGATACTGTACTGTACATCAATTTTTGTTCATTACATTTGAAACATCAACCTTTGTTAATTAAATTTGAAACAAAAGAAAACTACGATACTGTATTTCTAAATACCGGGTATTTTCATTAAAATATTACATCACAAGTATATTTTACCTTAACTGTGACTGACTGAATATATTCTCAGAAATAAATATGGAAATGTAATATCTTTGCTGAAATGACATACGTATTACAATGGAAAGTGGGATAAAATCATGACGAAAACAATGACTTTCGCTTTCTTTCGTTGTTCAAAAGATTTTACCATGGAACAAACCTGTACTGTACATGTACTAAATGATTACGGTACTTAAATTGTTATGTCTATTGCAAATATAGATTGTTTATACAGGTCTTCAAATAAATCACCATCTTACAAGAATCCCAGCAATGTAAGTTATATTCACCCAGGTCGTTTGGGTGGCTAATTATGAGAAGAGCTTAGTCACTCTTAAGTAATGATAAATAAACACGTAGGCCCTCAGCGCCAACTGTCACATCTTATCACATCTTATCTCAAATAAATAAACAAACACCACACTCTGTCACCTCACCTCCCCCCTCCCCCCCCATGCTCACTGGCTACCTCCCTCCTTGTGTTCCCAGACAAAAGATTGGTGATAACTTTATTCTTTAAGGTGTTTATTTTATATAATATCTCAGACTAAAGTTAGATTATAATTTGCATTGCTGGAATCTTCAAGACAGCCACTAATTTGAATATAAGCGTCATATATTTTGCTCAAGATATAAAAATGTAGTACATTAGTGTACAATACTGTGTAGTACATTTTATAATACAGTATAAAGTTTTCAACTGTATTTTGGGTAGATTTACATAAATTTCTTCATATTTTCATCCATTTACATGCACACAGTGCTAAAAGAAATAAATGACCTTAGTAAAGCTGAGTGTACATATACTAATTTCATACGGTACTAAAATTGTTATGTCTAGTGCAAATTAGAGCATGTTGCTATTCAAATTAATCAGTCTTACAAGAATCCCAGCAATGTTAATTATATTCTCCCAGGTCATTTCACGGCATTTTAAAATGGGAGAAGCGTAGTAGGACTGTTAAATAAACACACAAGACCTTCGGCTCAAACTGTCAAACATATCACCTCACCCACCCCCCCACCCCCCACCCCTCGCTGGCTGGCTGGCTCCGTCCCTCCTCCCCTAATCTCCTCAGCCGGGGTTTATTTGGGCTTACTGTATATCTCGGCCTACAAGGCGACAGGGGTGTATAAGACGACCCCAAAAATGTCCATTTTAAAAAGTAGCTTTTGAGCCCTATTTGCTGTATAAGACCGGTACCCCAAATGTGACACTTACCATTGGGAGCTTACTGGCCAGTAGTCCTTTACCAACCATCCCATTGACCAGTGCTGTTTACACATCCATGGTTTTTTAAAATAAGGCCAATTCACTTCAAGCAATGGCATCAAATGTTACGGTTGGTGTAGTGTAAACACTGGTGATTCATAGCGTCTGTTATTTAACTAGAACCTAATAATGATTGTCGAATACAATTGTTTCATTTACTTGAAATGGATTTACATTTATTTGTCTATTTATTTATTTATAACATACTGTAATATATTAAACACACTGCAAGTATTTTCTTTAATTTATAAGCTGCTTCACGAAGACAATCGTTGGTGGGACTGTTCGACTGTTTACACCAGCTACAGTATTCTAATTCAATAGTGTTTTATTAGGATTTGAGTGAAAAGATTACTGTACATACTTACTACATGCATTTTTATATAATAAAAAAAAAAAAAAAAAAAAAAAATATATATATATATATATATATATATATATATATATATATATATATATATATATATATATATATATATATATATATATATATATATATATAAAATAGTACCCGATTTGCGGTCAATTGAATATTATTATTATTATTACAGGAGTATTAAATTTTTGCCCCTCAGGCCCCAATGTGGGTCAGTGACTTATGCACAGGTGGGCTAATCTCCTTAAAAAAAACAAACAAAGCCATGGGAAATTAAGGTTTGTTTACATCTGGCTGCTCTCTCTCTCTGTCTGCTTGTCTATACAGAGGACAACTTTTAACCCTTCAATATATATGAGCAGTAAATAAGTGTTGCTTTCATATTCTTATGTAGAGTAATGAGATATGTTTTCACATGTGCGCACTTACATACGCGCACTCACTTTTTTTTTTACCATTAATGGTTAGCTACTTATATTGTTCCATTTATTAACATTAAATAACATTACAGGTACTTCAAACAACCATATTAATTTTTTTACATTCATTTTACTACAGCTAAACTCAGGGTCTTATTTTCTTCAGTTTTATATGCAGAACCAATCAGTCACTGGTTTTGTAAGCTGTAACATAAACAATGCCGGCAGCCGTCTCGTCTCCTCTAATATTCCACGTATTATTAACAAATTGAATTGTTAATTTTGCACACACAAACATTAATTCAATAAAAGCAAATTCAGAAACATTAATTAAAATATATATATAGACAGTAAATAGTATTTGTACCATATTCTTATGTAAAATAATAGCAGTATGTTTCGTGCATGTCTGCGCACTTACATATCTTGATCTCTTTTTGCTTTACCATTATGAATTTAAAGCTGCTTCTATTGTTCCATTTATTAACATTAAATAACATTACTTAAAACAACCATATTAATTTTACTACAGCTACAACCTAGGTCTTATTTTCTTCAGTTTTATATGTAGAACCAGTCAGTCACTGGTTTTGTAATCAACGAAAACAATGCTGTGTCATTTCCTTGTGTGTTTTAATATTCTACGTATTATTAATGAATTGTATTGCTCATTTTGCACACATAAACATTAATTCAATAAAAAGACATTCAGTAATAAACAATAATGAATCTTTTCTACATAAGAGAAATGACGCTGTTTACACGATTATGCACGTCATCTGCACGTTGGCGGGCCGTTCAAACCCGTCGAAATTCAAGTTTCCGCCGTCAAAATTTTTATTTTTTTTTGTGTGTTCCAATAAAATACGTTGAATTAAAAACTCACGAAATTTGAGAAGCTACTATACGACATTTAACCCTCCAATATGTCTTCAAAGAGACCATGATGCAGAAAAAGTGGTGCTAGTGCTTCCAAGCATAAGCACAAGTCACTATCTATCCAGGAAAAGGGTGAATTTCCATGGTCCGGCACCGGTCAGGTCCCGAGGTTGCTGGACTAGAGAGGTACAACCTGTATAACCAGTAGTATTGTACCTGATTTCTGTGATTCAGTGAACCCACAGGGTACCGCGGAAAGTGAAATCCGAGTAAATGGAACAACAGAACATATGGGATTAATTCCAATAGAAACTGGCCCGACCCCCAAACTCCACTTTTTCCGACACAATACCTATGTTGTAGTAAAAATAACATCTAAATTTTATGATGGTGTACACTAATGACTCACTTAAGCGTCAGTTATTTAACTGGAACTAATGTCGGTGTGAGTAAAATATTTCCATTTACTAGAAATAGATTTGCCGATTTATTTGTTTATATATTTATTTATAATATACTGTAATATATTAAACACACTGCAAGTATTTTCTTTAATTATATACTGGTTTTGCAAAAAAGGGAGGCTACCATTATACCTGGTAGGTGAAGTTGACCAGACATTTATGGTGATCATTAAGAACCAAACTCCGAATCCATGACGTGACTTCTGTTCATCATTTACCTATATCCTAAATTTACCACTGTCGGTAGTTTCAAGAATTAACGCAGTCATTTACTGAATATTCTTTATAAAAAAATAAATTTTAAATGAATTATTTATAGGAGATAAGTATTATGATCAGTAAATATACAGATATGCATTACTGACCACCTCCGAACACAAGGACGGCTAAAAATAGCCACAGGCGGTCACAGTCAAGGTCACTTTCCCGTCACTGGCAAGGGGGGGGTGATGATAGTAGCTGTGTTTATTACCGGGGTATATTGTTCTTTTACGGTATATTAGACAGGTTTATAATACATTTTTATTATTTTAATATACCGGTAATCTTCATTTTAATCCAGCTTCCCAAACGTAAGTTTCAGTATAAAATAATTAGTGGTAGGACCTTGTGAGTGGTTTACGATGTTTCCATCACCACTCTTGACACGCTAAACCACTAAACAGCAATATTTAAGAGGTAAGAATTTTATATCTGGTGCATAAGACGACCCCCTAAGTTTGGGCTAATTTTTTATGGTTCAAATTCCGTCTTATAGGCCGAGATATACGGTACAGTTATTATCTTTTATAATATATCAGACTAAAGTTAGGAGATTATAATTTGCATTGCTGGAATCCTTGCAAGACAGCCAATAATTTGAATATAAACGTCATATATTCTGCTCAAGAGATAAAAATTTTTGTACATTAATGTACAGTACTGGTTTTCAGTTAAAAAACTGTTATATTACAATAATATTCCCTCCTAATTAACTTGAATAAATACTTGAATGGAAATATACAATATTTTTGTTGAAACTACCCGCGTTTCAGTGTAAAGTGTCGTAATAATAAATAGTAAACAATTTGCCTTCGGCACTCTGTGTTTCAGGCACGGTGAGCCTCAGTTTATAGGAAGTAGAGTGTTTTAACTGAAGGTTTTGTTGTTCCAATACCCTCAAAAACTTGGGTCGACCTATAAACAAGGAATATCACAAATTAACGATTTTTTGGTCAAAAAATCAGGGTCGACCTACAATGCTGATGTCAACACAAGCATGGTTACAGCGAGACTGACTGTGTGAGGGAGCGCAGGGTGGTGGCGAGCGGTGCCGTGTGCGATTTGAATGTACGTACTTCAATTACTTCAATGTACAGAATATTCTTCCAGCGGGGCAATCCGCGTATTTGCGAATCCGTGTATGCTAAAGCCGCGTATGTGAAGGGCCGACTGTATTTGTAAGAGGATTTTCCAATTTTTATTTATTTGTGTGTGTGTCTACACACACACACACACATATACAATACAACAGGTAAAAAATAATAATTGTCCTTAGGGCAAACACATAAAAAGGGAATGTACATTTCTTTGTACACAAGTAAAAATGTACCCCCCTCCCCCCCTGGTCCGCAAATGTTATTCGCGGATTTGGCGATTTGCGGCCATTTTGAGAACCTAATCCCCGCATATTTGGGGGGCCCCCTGTATTCAAATCTGGTAGCATAGTTGCCCTATATGGGTAGTGAAGCCTTTAGGATGAGTTCAACTCTCAACACCCACCACTAACTTATACTGTCAGGTACATAAAGATGGCTTCTGTGTCCTTGAACCCTATAGTCCTGCCACTGAACATCACACTGTTGCTAAACAAGCTGGGTTACAGCTTCCCAATTCATTTTGTATATACTGTACAGACAACTGGCCAGTCACCATATGGCTTGTGTCCCTAAGTAAACCAGAGGTGATAACTGTTTGTGTACTCCTCCCTCCCCATTTTCTATTTGCAGTTTCTTGCAAAGTGAGTGTCCCAATGATATGCTCTCTGAAAGGGAGACTGTAAGGTTCATGTTTTGTTCTTCCTTGCTTACTTGTTCAGATATCTCTGGCACTTATGAGCTAGGAAGCTAAAATTTGGACACAAGTGCTTTGGTAGAAACTTTTTCTTCTTCTTTGACAAAAATATTATTTTATAGGTTTTAAGTTTAGATTTTTATTTTTTTTTACTAATTTTGTTACAAAAGCTCAAGATGCAAAATGCACCCACAGACAATTTGAGTTTTGTAATGAGAGTGTATATTTTTATATAATTTATTGTAGTAGCACTAATGTACAGTCCCCTTCACTAGTGCATTTACAGGGTCTTGTCAGGTTTTGTGCAGTGTGGCAATGTTGTGTTTGTTTACATTCAACAGAAGGAAACTCGCAATAGTAATCATACTGTACAGTACTATGGAATCAAAGTAAAACAATATTAAAACAATTATCTTAATGAAATGATTTGTGGAATGTTTATATGATGAGCTCCGGTAAATGCACTAGTGAAGGGACTGAACCTCATGTAACTTTGTTTATCCTTCACAGTATTTCAATTATTTTACCAAATATACAATGCACAAAGAGGTTCCTACTTCTGTGATAATGAGGTTGGTGATGCCCATGGCTACTGGCAGGATAAGAGAGTGGTCCACTTCAGTTAAATTGGGTATCCAACCAAACCCTCCAGTGCTCAATTCCATGAACAGCACTTGAGCAGCTGGAAAGGCATGATAAGTAGTGAATGAGACAGCCATGCAAGCATAAAAAACTGCACAATAAATAAAAAAATGTAACATTTCCTCAACTAAAGGTAACGTATGTGCTAAACTTATATGCTCCTGGTTGATAAAAAATTTCAAGGAAAAATAAAGTAACGATGAATAAAAATATATACTGTACAGTACCTGTATAATGGTACATAGACAAAGAGGATACTGGACATGTTTTAGTGATGTCTGCTTCATTATCAAACTACTGTACCCTTCGGTCAATGGAGGGCCAACTAGCATACCTACAAAGCAGGAAACCATTTATAATGTCAGTTTGACAAATCCCCAAAGAAAATAAATCTTCAATCTACACCTTCTACCTCATTATTAGCTATTAAAAATATGTAAATTCTGCCTATGACTTAACTAATGCATGAAGATCTATCTTACCTTAAGTTCAGACTTACCAGCATCCTGATGAGGCATCATGGACGCCATGTTACGGAAGGACATGGACATTGCAATCCACAGTGGTATTTGTACCCACAGCAGTATACTGGTTTTGAATGGATGGCAGTTATCTCGAATGATCAATTCCTTCCAAATTTTGCGAGCCTGAAATGTACAGACGTGTGTTAATCTAGTACTGTACAGTATTTTTTCCACATTTCAAGCAAATTGTCAAAGCACAATCTTCTCATACTATTCCCAATCTGTTTTCACTGCACCTTAAAGTGCCGAGACTCAAAAGCAGAGATACGTATAAACTAGAACTGTTCTTAAGGACTCCTGTGTTATGGTTGTTTTTAACTCATATTTTCAGATGGATACAGTAGTATATGCAACTTTCTTCATTTACTTTTACTCAGTTACATGCACACACCATCCTATACACATAGTGTGAAAAAATTCAAAGAAATAATTGTCCTAAGGGCAAACACATAGGGGTATGTACATTTCTTTGCACACAAGTCAGCTGGTTCAGTGGGAGAACAAGAGGAGGGGGCAGCATGTAGGGGAGGAGCATTGCTATGGAATCGGTGGAGGTAGCGTCTCTGTTGCTATGGTGAAGCAGGGAGCATATGCAAATGGCGACAGTGTTAAACTGTCATTTGGCTTTTATTTACTGGTTTGGAAATACAGTACTTTTTGTTGGTATTATTTTTATGTATTCCTCACATTTCCTGGTACTGTATATATTATCTTAAGAAAACTATGTCTACAGGAGGAAAACACACACAAATGTTTTTCCTAAATACTCCCTGGTAAAATGGGGTGTGTGTGTCTTATATGGACATGCATCTTATATGCTGTAAAATACAATACGTACTTTGAGAGTAAGTACTGTATTTTACAGCATATAAGATGGACTTTTTTGTCTGAAAAATGGCTAAAAAAATCAGCCTGCATCCTATATGTGAAGTTGAGGTATCCCGTAAGCTAATGAATCCCCCAGTTGCTGTCTCCAGTATATATTAAATTTTACTTAACCCAACTCCAGAATTAAAAATGTTATTGCTTACTTAAACACATTAATGTATTACTGTACTGTATTATTATTTTTAATTTACGAAAAAATCATTATTGTACAGTACAGTTGTACCCCACTTAACGCGGTCAATTGAACCCAGAGGGTTCACCAAATTATAAGAATTCCAGCAATGTAAATTATATTCTGACCGGGTAATTTGTATGAATTTTATGAGCTAAAACAAATATCTTCAGTTAATAAAAAAAATAATAATCTTCACGACACTATCTGTCAATCAAAGTACCCCACCTTGCCTCCCCCCCTCTTCCAACCGTGCGGTCAGTCCCAACCCTCCCCCCACCCCCCACCAATCCTCCCTTCCAGAGTTTTTAACATTTAGTATTAAATAATACCTCAGATTAAAGTTAGGATAATATAATTGACATTGCTGGATTCCTTGTAAGACCAGGAATATTTTGAATATAAATGTCATATATTTTGCACAAAAGATACCATAGTTACCTAGAGAAAAATTTTTATCTAAAAATTGTAAGTTTAAAGCAAAATATATGATGTTTATATTCAAAATGATCACCAAATTATAAGAATTCCAGCAATGTAAATTATATTCTGACCGGGTAATTTGTATGAATTTTATGAGCTAAAACAAATATCTTCAGTTAATAAAAAAAAATAATAATTCTTCACAGGGTAACAGATGGTCGGTTGGTCCCTCCCTCCCCCCCACCCCCCACCAACCGTCCCAAGGAGATGTGTGGGATAACCACTAAATTTTAATAAATAATACCTCAAACTAAAGTTAGGATAATATAATTGACATTGCTGGATTCCTTGTAAGACCAGGAATATTTTGAATATAAATGTCATATATTTTGCACAAAAGATACCATAGTTACCTAGAGAAAAATTTTTTATCTAAAAATTGTAAGTTTAAAGCAAAATATATGATGTTTATATTCAAAATGATCACCAAATTATAAGAATTCCAGCAATGTAAATTATATTCTGGCCTGGTAATTTGTATGAATTTTATGAGCTAAAACAGGCAGTCAGGCAGGGTGGCGGGTGGGGCAAATCTAAAAATAGCGTCTCGGACACTCACCGCGTATATGTGGAAAAAATCCGCGTTAAGTGAAAGTTCAGCTTTGGCAAGGCACCGCGTATATGCGAAAACGCGTTAAGTGAAACCGCGTTAGGCGGGGTAAAACTGTAGATATAAAAGCTCGATTTATAACTAATGTACTGATGATGATAACCTGAGACAATTAACTCCCGTACGGTAGACACCCAACTCTTCAAAGGTAGCTAAGCAGTAACCATTTCTGAACTCTTACAAGCATTACAATCTATTAATGCCATACCTGCAACATTTATTTTTAAATCTACAAATACCCGATACAAATGAAGATTTACATATTACATTCTTTTCACCTGTTAACATTGCTGATGGCATTGTAGCCAGGTTAGACTCATCACAGTAACCAGGATACTGGGCCAAGCTGTGAGGTGTTATGGTTTTTCATTTTTTATTTTCGGGTAGATATACTGTGTACTGAGCACATCATTGTCATTTCTAAAAACCCCCTTTAATTCATATTACGCTACATAACATTCAAATCCGCTGCGCTTGTAGAATCTCAGAGAACGGGGGTCATTGATAAAGACTAACTCACCTAATGAATGTTACGGAATCATGCGTTGTATTGTACCCAGGTACGGTTATATAATATTACGGTAATTGTATGTATTCATAGCATTAAGGAGAGACGTGTTTTTCCCATTCGTTTTACACTCAGGATCCCTCCCAGTAAGTCCCGCCTTCAAACACAGTTGACAATACGTTTATTCCACTCTCTACTGGCAAACTCAATCTTGAGTTAGTCTGGGTAAATCAACTTTAGTAATTCGCCAGACCTTTGTCAACTGAGGGTCATCCTTGAATGAGTAACAGTTGGGTTGTTTGTAATTTCTGTCATTGCGCGAGTAGCGATCGCTGGCAACTCAGGGGTATATAACCTCGGGAGAGCGGGAGGATCAAACCTCCCGTAACGACGTCCAACTTCGTTGTCCTACAGGTATGTTCTGTGTTCCCTAGCCATTCAGTTTGATTCAGTCAATTGTAGTGATTATCAGTATTCATGCTTTAACAGTGGAATTGTCATTCACCCAGTGTAAGAAGTAATATAAAGTAAATGTTGTCTGACGTTGCGAGACGAAAGATTTGTTTGTGTTGTCATCAGGCTTCCCCAACCTCCCGTAACGCCGTCCAGCTGCGTTGTCCTACAGATCGAGGGTGGGCTTAATTGAAACCCCACCAGTCGCTCGGAGCCGGTGGATATTCAGCAGTGATCAATATATGGGCGATGGTGCTGATTCAGCATGATTAATCGGCTCCACACTGCCTCGTGGAGCCAGACCCCAGACTCGCCATGTGTCTAGCTACCACCGATCACAGCCACAGTCGTGAGCTCCAGTGTCCTACCCTGGGACGCTTCCTGGAAGTTATATGTCCACAGTGTTGTTGTATGTGTATGGGGGGTAATTCTGGAATAAGTATCCCATGTTGGGTAGTGGACCCATGTATGAGTTGGTTTCAGTAATAACATGTGGTGTGTTGTGAGGGCATCTCATATGCACTACCAATAGTTAGTGAAGTATCAGATGGAAGTTGTAAAATATGGAATGAAATGTAATTTGCAGTTCAGTAAAGCCTAGGAGTTGCCGTGGGAGTTATATGTTAATAATATATTTTTCCCCACTTTGAGTCCATTTTAATAAACATTTTCTTAGAGTATATCAGGGGTATTCATTTCCCGCAGTAACACCTTTATTTCCATCCAAGGGACCTGATATTAGAATTGCAATACCCATGTGCCTAGACCCTCGACATGCTACCAAAAAGGAACTGAGGTTATGTAGTAACCAATGAACTGAAGTAAGTAGAAAGAACAATTGAAAGAACTAAGCCATGTTATGGTTTCACCCTTCCTTCCCCTTATCGATCTGGTCAATGAAAAACCTAACCCAATGCCTCGTCCACTCTGCCTGCTACCTAACAAGCTACATACTGCCCAGAGGGGTTCTGGTGGCAGCAACCCTTAGAAATTAAGAATAGAGTTAAGTTATTCCCCTTAGAATTAGTGACCCCAGATCTGGCAGTATAACTGTGCACAACTTTCCTCATTTATTTTTACTCCGTTACATGCACACACCATCCTACATACATACAGGTATCGTGAAAAAGTAAAGGAAATAATTATCCTAAGGGCAAACACATAAAGGGAATATAAATTTCTTTGTTGGCTCAGTGGGAAAGTCGGAGGAGGCAAGACTTGTGTTGGGGGGGGGGGGGAGCATTGGGAATCAGTGGAGGTGGCGTCTCCGTTGCTATGGTTCGGCAATGCATTATTTTTTTGGGTAACTTATTTACTGGTATTATTTTTATTTATTCCTCACATTTACTGGTACTGTATATATTATTTTAAGAAAACTATAGCTACAGGAGAAAAATCCACACAAAGGTCTCTTCCTTAATACTCCCTGCTAAAATGGGGGGTGTGTTTCATATGCCATAAAATACGGTAGGCTATGATATAGTGCACAAAAGGTATGTGTTCCGACTTAAGAACGTCCTCAGGAACGGAACTCGTTCGTAACCTGGGGACACCCTGTATTTGTAGCCCTTTTTATAACTTTTTAATACGCTCTTAATCATAAATGTTACATTCAGAATGATTTTGCAATCATTTATACGCTTTTCCATCCCAAAAAATCACTGTACAGTCAACCCTCACTTTACGCGGTTAATGTAACCCACAGGGTACCGCGGAAAGTGAAAAACGCGTAAAGTGAATAACATAACATATGGGATTAAATGAAATAGAGACCAGCTGACCCCCAAACTCCACTTTTTCCAACACAATACCTATGTTCTAGTAAAAATAACATCTTAATTTTATGATGGTACATGCACACAATTAATACTTAAGAGAAATAGAGAAATACAGTCGCCAAGTTAATGTCCATTCAAATAATGGACTCGACTCCCTCCCCCTCTTCTCACACTACACTCGCTGGCTCTTCCCTCTGAGAAATTTTGGGGGGAAAACCAGGTATAGTAATA